CGAAAAATTGCGCATCACGCGTTATTTGTTAATTGGAGGTTTCGCCCATGTTTCTTACTTTCAGTTCGACGTTGTTTCAAAGTCCTAGATGACTTCGTATCCTTGTTTGTTTTTTCGCAACAAACTACTGTTTTCCCAAAGAGGAGGGATGGCAACGAGTTAAAGCAGACGATATTGCAAACGAGTAGAAAACTGTTGGCTTGTCATCCCGCGTCACTTTGCTTGAAAATTGATGAGCGAAATGTTTTCATCTGCAAAACTGACGAAGATTATGACAGAAACGCTTCAAACCTTAACGTATCGCCAAGAAATTTCGGATTATGATCTCTGAACCACAACGAGGTCGTATATTGACAAATTGGGTTGTGCTATAGATCCGTCAGCAAGCTACAAACGACAATAACCTGGCGTATTTTTGCGACCTCAAAGACCAGTGATTGGAAACCTTATATATCATCACCTGGAAGTGTAATGAGGTCTGTCAAATAGAGTAATTCAATGAAGGAGGAATAGACAGAGACTCATTCAAATGTGTTTTGTAAATGGTTTGTGGTAAAACTGGCACTGCTAGCTCTCCAAATATTCAGCTACAGAGAATTTCGACAGAAGGCATCAAAAATGCGAGGAGTAGGTGTAGATTAAGAAGTCAACATTATCGACAATATTGGAACAGGGCCAGGTAGGACTCTTGGTCTTGTGGAGAGAAAACGCACATCTATCAGAAAGGTAGCAAGTAGCAAGAAGAACATTTGACAGTACAGCCATTTCCCAGCAGCTATTTTTTACCTTTGTTTGAGTACTCGAAGATACATTATTCGCATTACGAAGAACGATGTGAGTTTGTAACTGCACACATTTAGATTAAGTATGAATGTATTCACTTCTAACCTTTATTAGGGAAGCAGTATAACATAGATCTACACAAGTTTGACATTTTAATCCGTAGGCTCCGCCCAGCTAAAAATAAAGAGGATAAAATGATAAAGATCTTGACGTTGATCTAACCCTGAGGGATGCGCCATGCATTCGGCTTCATTAAGCATCGTCGGAGGTGACTGAATACATATCTGGCCTTTGCAGTGATTCGCCGTGGTCTACCGATGTGCCGAGCCAGTGCCTTCTAGACAAGTTTTGTACCAATTTGCGGACCTTGGAGGGATGAAGGGCTTGGTGGGCCAGGGGCGCTTGGATCGATGCCGTGTGTAATGCAGGGCGCCTCCGACCACTACGCTGCACGTGCTCTTAGCTAGGAACAAGCCTATTATAAAACGCTTAATTTTTATTGCTCCTAGCAAGAAGGTAGCTGTCAGGAACTGGCTGGGCTCTGATAAGAACAATGAACTACATTCATTGGTATACTGAGTTCAAACTGCAGGAAGGAAAAAGTGTTTGAAACTTGAACGTGAATAAAAACATGTAGCTCGATTGTCGATGAATCTAGTGACTTCTTTCAAAGAACGCTGACCGCTTTCTATTTTTGTTAAGTGAAGTCTAGGTTTTCGAAATTGCAGTATGTAGATGTGGGTAAGGCGAAGTACTTTGTAGTTTTCAGGAAGTTCCTGACTTTCTCGTAAGATCAATGAGCCGTCTTAAGAACTATAAGCCGTCTTAACCCTTTTATTTACTGCCTTTTTCTTTTTAACGGCAGAGTATACATTGTGAAATATAACTTCAATGATGCTGAGATATTTGCAAAACTCCGGACCGCAGGTGTATGCGGTGGGGAACGAACACGCGCTGTTGTCCTTACCGGGGAGCAGCGCACTTCACCACCACACCATCCGAATCCTTCGTTTTGCCTGTCTCTCAACTAGTTCTATCGATCTTTTTGCCATCAGCAATCACCCGTCAACGGGATTGATCTGGGGAGCCCAAATCGGCATTGAACCCAGTTAAGCTGAGGCTTAGTTATAATCAGCCGTCTATTTCTTCCTATTCACCTCTCTAGGAAGTTATTCAGGACCACAATGATGCTGAGATCATTGCGGTTGTATTTCAAATACCATCCTGCCACTAAAAAGGAATAGACAGCAAATAAGAAATGATCACATTGTTATTCATAGTGTTGGCTTCCCAGCACCGTGAATAACGAAAGCTTTTTTTGTCGGAATCGGTCGACATTCGTCCCGTCTGGCTAATGCACGATGTTGTTAGAACGATATTATCTGCAAAACGAAAGTGGTGTACCTGCAAGGCAGCGAATTTCACCCCTGTAATATCCCATTCCAGTTTTCACTTGATGTTTTAAGGGCGGTTGTTAATGATTTACGAAAATGGTATCTCTATGGAACTCCTCTTCACACCATCGTGATAGTGTAGAGTGATGAATTTTTATACTGTGAAAAGTAGTGGCACCGCTGCTGTCCAAAGCTTTCATGATTCATTCCATCTTAAGTACTCCATGGATTTCACTAAGTCGACGAAACAAACAGACCACATTCTTCTAATCTTATGATACACTAATAAGTTCGACTTTAAAGTAAACATAATCCATTGTACTGGGCTTAGGTGAGCTACCACATAACCTTTGCTACACGTTTCTCACTGATTTGCAACAAGTGGTCTACCTCAGGGCAAGCTGACATTGAGTCCAAAATTTTTATTGCCAAATCTTGCCAAGGCTAGGTCTATATCTAGCTCCTTACTTGTTTTGAAGGAGAACACAAGGTCGCATGGTGTGATGCGTATGGTAGATAGCAGGAATAGAGTGACAGAACTTTCTAGTGACCCCGGTAAAAAATACTTGCACTTTGCTGAGATCCCCATTACCCTTCATGAAGATTTACTATGAAAATATCAAATATAAATAATTTCGCCTCTTTGTTTCAGTTGGTGATGACTGCTAATATGCTGCTTAAATTTGTTCCCTTAGGTTAGTGCTCTAGTTTGCTCCGTAAACGTTTGACATTTTCGAAAGTCTGGGCAACATCTGAATCACAGTTGTAGCAATCAACGGGACAACATTCGAATAACAAGGTAAACAAAACAACAGATCAAAAGGTTAGAATTTCATGAGGATACGAGAAACGATTATTCACAATTTCGATTGGGAATCGCTAATATATTCACTAAGGAACTACGCAGAGCACTGGTTAGAGTTGCACTGTAGCAAGCACCTTATAAATGTCTGATTCGATCACCTGGCCAACGTTCATCAAGCCTTCCATCCCTGAAGGGTCAAAAGTTGATATCAGACCTATCCGGGCGAATAAAACCACTGGCTTGACATATCGCTAGGCCACCACAAGTTACTGTATAGGTCAGATATGCATGCAGCCACTTCCACAGTCGAATGCATGGCGCATCCATTGGAGGCATTGGTTAAAGCCGAATGCTTTATCTTTCATCTTCCTCTTAGCATTCTATACATACGTCTTTTATAATTTATTCGCTTTGTAATAATTATAATATAATATAATCTTATAATAATAATATTTATAATATAATACAATAATATTATAGTGATAATATAATAATAATATAATAATATAATAAAATAATATAACATAATAAAATATATAGCATAATAATACAACAATAATATAATATAATAACAATTGAGTAATAATATAATATGATAATAATATCTAATATAATAATATATACTAATATAATATAATATCTTTTATAATGTATTCGCTTCCACTTTGTTCAATTTCGTAGACCTCAAGAATTTTTATGTACAATTTTCTCACTAGTACAGATTTCCTGAGTCATATCTCTGGCAATCATGTTAGAGAGAGACAGAGAGAGAGAGAGTGCTCGTAAATTTTATGGGGACCATTTTGAAGAAGCATCATCAGCTTTGTGAAGTAGAGCAACCTTTCTTGTACCAAAGAGAAGGCTGTGAGCGGCGCTGCATTTGTGCCTGAGATGAAATAAGCTTTTTTGCATATCCAGTATATGACACATTTACCGGCTTGTTGTGAAAACTAATTTGTTCACACGACGAATTAAGGTCGTTTGCGCCCACATTAAAGAAATTTAACGACTAACTTTTCCAGCAGTCATTTAAGAAAAAAGAACCTCTAAGTACAGCATGTCATCGATTTCATCTCGTGAAAATCCCTCTATAGAAGAAAGATCTGGCTCTGGTCCAATACATTTATTAGACAAATATTGTTACAATTATTACATTGAATATGGATGAAAAATGTTCACTTCCATTGGGAAACGAAACCAAGAAAGTGTCACTAAATGGCTCCCATTAGAGGAATGCGGCTCTGAACGCCTACGGCAGAGTAAAAAAATATTTGTAAAAATGTCACATTAATAGTCTGCCCAGATAGTGGCATGAAAGACAACATACGCCTCGGGCGTAATTTTAAGGACAAAACCAAAACGAAAGACAATTGATAATTTTAAAGACAACAGTGAATGACAGAAAGATATACATTTCATCTAGAACCCGGATATATTTCTTATCTTCTTGTACCGTCTTCGAAAAACACTCCACCGTCCAGTGCGCAATATTTGGGGCATATTCCTGAAGAACGCCATCTCTTATCTTTGAGTGCATTTGTTAGATCTATCCAGATAGGGAAAGAGAAACAAGCCTCGTTCTCCTTGAGGTCCAGGCTGTCCAGGTTGTCCCGGAGGCCCAGGTTCTCCCGATAATCCCTGCGGTCCAGGTGGTCCTGGAGGACCCTGTGGACCCAGTAATCCATCCGAACCAGGCCGTCCTGCATATCAAAATTTTGTATTAGGTACAATAAACAAATTCTCACTTACACAAATCTTGACTAGCTTGCTTATTTTTAGTATTCCTGAACAACACAAATGCTTTTGTTGCAGCTGTTGCAAGAGAAAAGTTTTGCGATAGATAGTTAGGTTAGATGTGCTTCAGAAAACATAATACATATTGCCGCATTCCTGTTATCGATCAAAGTTTTAGAATTTTTCTCGCACTATAAAGAGATTATGACAGTAATTTTTTTCAGTTTTTTTAAACAATAAGTTGTCAACTTTCTAAGAAATAAGATTCCTAAATTGTTCTATAGACTAAAAACGAACCACTCTGGCCAACATCTCCAGGTAAACCAGGTGGCCCAGGATCTCCCGGTGTGCCCGGGTCCCCAGGAATTGCAGGTGTGCTAAATAAGGTATAGAATTAGTGACTTATCGGCACGATCCACGTAAATTAGAAGAATAGAAATTAGCTGCTCATTACTCGCCTAAATGCCGGTCGTCCAGGATCGCCTCGCGCTCCATCCCTCCCAGGATCACCTGGGGATCCAGGCGGTCCAGGTGGACCTGAAATTAAACAGACAATTGTCTAAGCGCTTTTCAATCACTGAACGTCGTACCCTGTGGTCCCGGAGGCCCGTCATTCCCGTTGCGACCTGGGTGACCAGGTTGTCCAGGGCTGCCTGAAACAATAGCGGTATGCTGGAACAATTTCATCTGTGAGGACAAGAAGAGTTTTTATTGGCATAAGATTAAAAGGGGATCCGAAAGACAATTTGTAATAAAGACGATTTCTTGTCTTACAATAAAGTCATGCTCCTCGGATGAATCGCATCACCCGTTTCTTTGTAATAGAAGTGCAGACAGCTAAAAAACAATTCCAAACCCACGGCTTACCAGCATCTCCAGGTGGTCCCGGAGGTCCCGGCTCTCCCGGGGGACAAGGATTACAGGGCGGCTCAGTGACCTCTTCACAGATCCTTAAACGGGTATTTCTTTTCAGAACCACTAAAAATTTAGAAACAGAGAAGTAAATCAAGGATTTTGCAGATTAGGTTTGCTCCACGTAGCCTGTTGAATTCAAAGCTTACGTAGTAAAAAGAAACTAACGCTGGTGGCCTTCCAGGAAATCCAGGGGCACCTGGTGCACCAGGTCTTCCTGGTATTCCATTCCTACCAGGTGGACCGTCTGGACCCGGCAGTCCAGGTAAACAACACCCTTAATAAAGAGTAGATTATGAACTGCTTCGTTCTCGTATAAATTCATTGTCACATTTTTAAGATGCACATTGGAATAAGTTTTTTCCTTTGCAGAAAAGCTTGCGGGGCTAAATTAAATAATTCTTGCGAGAGGTGTAGAAAAACTCGGCGCTGTGCTTATTTTGCCGATTTTCTTATGCATAGTTGTCGCAATGCGGAGATGAAGAAGCTTTCCATTATGAGAAAACATCAACATTACGTATAAAATTTCTGGTCGAAAACTATGAACTGGAGAGTTTCAAATCCTACAAAAATATCCCAGGGAAAAATCTTGCCTTGACAAACATCCTGGGAGACCTGCCTCCTTCGTCTCGTCTGATTGGATGAACGAGCCAAACCCGGCAGAATAGCCTTAGGAAGTGCTCGGTATTCTGCTACTTCCACCATTACATCTCTTGCAGATAGCTGAAAGAGAACCTCTTCTGCAAGCGCGAATAATTTACCCCTGAGTACTGACTTTACCTTACAGAATTCCATTTCACTCTGAACTCTTGCGTGAACCGAGTTTATGTAGTTGTTGACGACGGGAAGCGTGATGAAAACTGCTACAATGGCAACTAAGGAGAACGAGACGGCTGAAAAAGCGACGAAGCGGTAGGCCCGCTCTCGCCGATCCGAGTCCATCCTGTGGAGAATAAACGGCGTTTGAAGTGGGCCGAGAAGGCGAGAGGAAAAAACGCACTGGAACCTGAGAGTACTTGAATACTTGAATGGATCCTCTTCACGGTCAATCGCACAAGTTCCCATGCATTTTTCATTAAATGATACTTTAGTTATTTCACAATACTACTCCAATTGTATCTAAAACTACCCATAACAGGGGTTTCCCATGTGCTCACGACAGGTGGGACTAACCCTTGTAAATGAGAGAGAGGTTTGCCATCTTGTGGCTTAAGAGGGTAGAACTTCTTAGCCATTGGTTTACCCCTTATTTGGACAACACTTTAGAAATATTGATCCTGCTTCTCAGTTTAGGTGGTTCTGAGAAGGAGTAGGAAAGAACGCTCAGCAGTAATAAGATAGAGAACTAGATGAGCCCTGGCAACAGCAAAAGTAAATGAATTGTGAAAATTATTGGGAAGGCTTGCTAAGGACGTTAGCTTACGACGAAACGGAGGCATACGGAGGAACTGGATTTTCTGGAAGACAATTGCACAGCATCAATACATATCTGGGCTAGTGACACAAAGATGAATCGAATGCGGAGTAAGAAATTTATAGAATGGTTGATTTCTGTCCATTTCAATAGTTCAAGATTAGCATGTGCTTGATGGTTCTGAGTCATCAGAACGGCAATGATGCTAACCTTGCTCTGCAGGGTGAGTAAACCTCTAATCATGTGAGACTAAGTAGAAGCAAATGGTGATAAAAGGCTTTACGTCCTGGCTTCGAAACATCTTTAATTTGTCAAATGCAAGGATATGTGAAGAACTTGTGAAGAAGAAAGTCAAAGTAGCTAAAATTGAGTGACCTATCATAAGCAATTTGTGAAAAGTCGTAAAATTCTCATTAGAAGCGAATCGCAGCCCGCGAATAGTTTCGATGGGCGGTGTAGTGGGATGCATCGCTAGGGGTTTTATATCAATCGGCTAAACTTTCTTCAGACCAACTTATAATAGAAATGCTAGCCAATCAGAGAACTGATGGGCGGCACGACGCTGATGAAGGCCTCATCCGAAGAGTAGCGCTTAAAAAATGAACTCCGTCCAAGGATGCGATCTGCCCGCCCCTCTACCCGCCCGAAGAAGGTGAAAGGGATTCTAGATGAACTAGACAACGGGAGAGAGTTCGTGACACTGTCGGAGCATCTGCAATACCTCAATGATTTAAATGAAAGAATTCCATCTTACCAATGTAGTGTTGCATTAAACCAGAAGAAACCGGCTTGACAGAGAATAGCATAGATATGGATTGGGTTTTAAATGGAATTGAACTTACAAAGCAATGCCTGTTCCTGCGAATCCCTACTTGATTCGTGGCCACATATATGATTATGTTGCATGAGTTTTCTTATGGAATGATACCCTTGTGGCTTCTTCTTCAACTCTAAAGCAGCCGATTACTTACGGATGAACGTACAAAGTTCCTAGCACAATTTAAAACCGTTTTTCAGTTAGTCATTACCAAAAGATATATTTTTGGCAATTTTCATGCAAAGAGGCTGCTTTAGTGATCGGACAGAAATTCTGTTAAAGTTGAAGGGTAAGCATATGATAAAAAAAACTAATGGGAAACTTCCTAATACAGTATTTCTCGTTATCCGTTAGCAGTTTCTTGTTCAAAAAATGCTTACCTCTCTTTTGCATGGAGCCTCAGGCTACCTAAACTCATAGTTATGCACTATAATCTAATCATCGCAGTCTAACCCTATACAAACTAGTGCAGAATGGATTTTCTGGAGAAGAACAAGTACTATCAACAGGCAGTCGGCCAATCAACCGTCCTCTATAAAAAGGCGCCGTCGACTGAAGTTACCTCATTCGAACAATGCCGCATTCCAAAAAATTCCACTTGATGCGACAACGAACACCAGCATCGCAAGGACGAACTGCTGTGGACAACTGACTCGGATCACTCGGTCTCTGAAGAAGGCGAGCGTGTTGAAACGCTAGCCATCGCGAAATAAACAGTATGTTTACAATCGTGTGCCTACTCATCGAGAAAACACGAAACTATATTGTTAATTGGCGAAGTTAATCGAAAATCATTCTTGGGAATAATTACAGATATACGTCATAACTGTTTGAATAGTGGGAAAATTAGTGGACATGTCAAGAAATTCACAAACTCCTACTGAAAGTGCAGTGTTTGAGAGTTGAACTAGTACGTCAAAAGGGACCAGTTCTGTTGTGCGGCAACACTAACACAAGAAGCATAACCAACGAAAGAATAGGAAAACTGAGACACTACGCTCTACCCCGCTTCGAATTTCAAACCGATGGCCATTTATCAAACAGTTCAAAAGGTTTCATTAGAGAAGTTGCCAATTACATTTTTGAACTTGCTTCCACAACATTTACGGGACACGTGAAGCTTATGTATCTACCACTGTAAAACAAATAGACCGGCATAACGCTGACAGAATTGCTGAAGCTTCAGTGGTTGCCGTTTCGTTCAAGAAATTCCACTATTCATACGATTTTCCCGAAACTTTTTCTAAGCATCCTAATAGCGTCGAGGGTGTAGACGTCGATAACATCTTCGTTCTATTTTATCGTGACCTAGCACTATCTATGAGCCTAACAGACCACGTCTATCATCCACTCTTTGTTGAATTCGTCTCCTCATTCTCATCGGCTGCTGGGTGTACTGGGCATGCCGCTGCATCTTGTTGACCTCGGGTGCCCCTAGATCTCTAGGAGCGGTATAAACAAACAGAGCACCTTCATGTAAGGTTTTAGTTTCCATTTTATTAATTAGAATTATTATCAGTTCCTCTCATACCAGAAAGCCACAGAAAATCAATACTGCTTGCTTTAATAAAGGCAATGGCAGTATTACTTGCTGCAGGAGCTCTTGGCCTTTTAAGGGCTTCAAATTTCCTACTAAACTCTGTAATTTGGTAAGTCTTTCGAATGCTTTTGGATTTAGTCTTTCCTAGTACTCACTGGAGACTCGCAGTTGATTCTTCACTAGCGAGTCGTGAAAAACGTTGAAAAAAATGTGTTAAGCCAACAATGCGGAGTGCTTAGGTTTTTCAAGCACAAATTCATCACAGGGCGATGACGCAAGCGGCAGAGTTTTTCCGCGCCGGAGGCATTTAGTACGTTCCGGCCACGCGACCGCGACGTCCATAACCGGTTCGGGTGCAGTCTGCATTCATACCAGCCATCTTCTCTCACGTACTATTCACAACATTAAGGGAACTAGTGGGGCTTCTCAGAAAAGTTCTTGTCAGTGTGACTCCGATCAACAACTATTGGAATGAATCTCTTCGTCAGTGATCTCAGAAAAAAGAGGTCAAAAATGAAAGGGCACAGTAGCGCAGTGCAGTTAAGTAAGCCATTCAGGAAACACATGTTTTTTTAAGAGACTGGAAAAACTACTGCCTAGTCACCAAAGAAATAGCTATCCCATGAAATCTCAAAAAATCAGTTCTTTGTAGCTGCCACAGTTGAAGGTATTCGCTTTTATTTTAACTAGGCGACTACCTGTCACAGTGTTATATTTTAAAAAAGATCAAAAAGCTTTTGGTTAAAAAATTCTTGGACGAGCACGTAGTTGGAATCCTGAACCTCGAAATTGGAGTGATGTGAAACGCTCTGGTCTCGCGCCACAGACTGGATCGCTGTACCCAAGCATGAACTTCGCGCCCTGTTCTTCTATGTGAACAATTATCCCACGGATAATGCAAGGATGCAGAGGTTTTGGTATGTCATACTTCTTCTTGAAAAGCATGTTAGTTGTCAGACTTGGATGATTGGTTGACTGTTGTCCTCTGCAGCTTGCTGATTCATTTCAAGTTCTGGTTTCCTACTTAGATGAACCAGCTAGACCGTTGCCCTGCCTACCACTTAGGCTGTTCCTCACATTCCCACACAACATCTTTAAACAAAGCCATATAAAATCACATCCATGGCTATACAGATAAAAGATACATAGGCAAAAACCTGGTTCTCTTATGATCGCAATGTTTCAGTTCGGTCTCTTCAGGCACGGGTTGCATGGAGTGCGATTTGCTCGCAAGCCTCCAGTAGGAACACTTAACATGTATTTACTCGTTAATATAAAACTTCGTAACGCTACAACTTTAGAAGACAGACATTTTTAATTGAGAAATGTGACACTTTCTAGAAGTATCCGAAGACGCCGTGACAATTGAAAGTGTCATATGTATTCGCAGTCTAAAAGGATTAAAGGATAAGCATTTGGCGTTGATCAATCCTTGAAGGATGCGAAATGTGTTCGGTTTTATAAAAGATCGTAGAGGTTGAATACATACCTGTT